TGGGTGCTGTCGGTACTACTTGCCTTCCAGGATGGGGACCGCGTAATCCTCCCTGTGTCTGTTTGGAGACACTACAGGACATGGCTGCCAACCGATGTCACTGGCGTTCTTGCTGTCAGTTTCTATCCAGATTGTCTGAATGAGTGTTTGGAAGTGTAGGCACTTTGGTATGATTGTGGTAAGCTAGCACTTAGTCCATTCCCCGTCCACCTTTACTCTTTTCTTTACAATAAGGCTTTCAAATAAATCATGGTTGTACGGCAGTGAAGCATTGGTGTTAAACACTGATGTCATGCTGTCGATGATGATGATGATTATGATGATTTCCCCCACAAAGTCTGAGGCCTGAAGTTGCTGTACGAAGGTGTGGTCGTCAACACGGTGAAATTCCCGTACACTCGTAACCGCTGTCTTCAACCGCCTCTCAGTGAGGTGAGTGTGTGAGCGTGGAATAAGACAAATTTGTTCAAGATCCAAAATTTAGGGTCGTTTGAGTAATACCACTATCGTTCCGTCATTTAGGCAGCACCATCAAGCATGTTTGCCAGTCTCAAAAATCAGCTGAATGACTTTACGGTTTCAACAATGGCGCATCAATGTAATCAACAGTCAAATGGAACCATGGCAACAATAGAAGTTGGGGCTATACGCTCAGAATGCAATTAACCCAACACCGTAATGATACCTGAAAAATCGGGTGAGTAGGAAACCTAAACGGTTCGTTGGAACGCGACACAAATCTAGATTACCTTGGTAATGACGCCGAAATTCTTTTGAGGACAACATAAGCATGAAACTGAACGAGGACAATGCGCATGCATACAAACTATCGACCAGACATCAGCAAATACGGTTGCTAGGATGTCGGTCCCATTTGAAACATTCAGCAGAAGGAATAACCGCAACTTTATTCACGGACTGCGGATCTGCTTTCCGTTCTGCTGACGCGAGTTTCAAGGTCCGGTTTGACTGCCACCGGGGTTCGCCTTCTCTAGGTCTTTTCGCGTTTCCTTTGTAAAAGAACTTTCATAGAGTCTAATTCTGACTGATAGGAGTGATTCCGTAAAGGCGCACACAGCAGTCCCCTTTCGGAAAAAAGCCCGGGTTCCTTTTACAGTGATTGTCTCCCCTAGGGGGGAGTATTGTATTCCATAACCTAATTCTTCTGGACAGGATATACGCTAGTGGATAATGGGACGAGCGTTCTCACCGGTGAGCAACGGTGCTTTTTTAGGCGGTTTGTCTTCGAAAATTGTCCCAAGCAGAGCTGCAAAAGATGTCAAATAAAGGGTGTAGGAACAAGCGGACAAAGTTTTGAAATGCAGGTTACCACCTACTTGTTGGTAGTCTCCCCGCAGCATATTGTTATACACAGTTTCTGCCATGATTTCGAAAGACTTTTCAATATTTTGTCCCGTGACGGACGATGTTTCCATATAGACCAGGTCGCCAAGACGTTCAGCTAAACACGCAGCCTCCACTTTGGTGACCTGTTCATAGAAAGTGAGAGAAATGGAGTGAATGATCTGGAAGAAAGAGTGCAACGGCATGGGGATCACGAGACGAAAGAAACGTCCACGAGGTTCACAGTTCTTCTATGCCACAATATTTTAGAAGGTAGTCTACAAGAACCAATCAGCTTGGGAATCAAATTACGAACGATGAATTGAAAAGAAAAAACGAATGAGCAGCACGTCTGTGAATTGAACTGCAAGATGAAATTGGTGCAAGAATCCTTTTAGAAGAGGCCGCTCCCTTGGAGAGCTTCGTCCTTAAGTGGAGGATGTTCCTGCACGACTCTAAACAACGGAGCGACTAAATGGAAGTACTGTGATTTTTTGCCGGCTTCTGTTCACAAAATACACAGCATCGGGTTCCCAATTTGGGACAAATCCCAACAAATCGACACACAACCTGGGGTAATGCAACCGACATGTGACATACATTTTTCCCAGTCACATGATAAACTTCCGAGAAACCATGCAACAGCACTTCGCCACATTCACGTGACTTAGGCTAGTGGCATGAAGGTCATGTAAATCGGGTAAGAAATGTTTGCAGTACGTTTGTTCCCGGGCAATAGACAGACGTTGTACAAAAAGGTGTCCATAACCCACAGACCGAAGGGCTAGTTGGTGAAGGCAGTCGCGGGCGGAATCAAACCATTATTGGGCCTGCGTGCCTTGACCACGTATTGGCGAGAGCCTATATCTGCGGCGGAGACATTCAGGTGATTCAAACAGAAAACGGACAGCAATCGATAAGATATTTTAGTGTGCAGCAGAGTTGATAATTTCAGTGAATTGATGATCTTTCTAGTCACCTAATCACTAGGGGCAAGATGGTTCGGTGGTCAGAGCGAGAATTTACTGACTGCAAGGTCCGTGATTCGAACCCGACCTCTGCCTCTCGACTTCCCCTGTCTAGGCGTGGGCAGTATCCCAGCCATCGTGCTTCCTTTGGGTGGCATGGCAGTTAGGCACCGAAAGGGTGTTACAGCTGGACGACCTACTCACCAAGTGAAAACCAACACTCGATCTGTGGAACCAGTATGTAAGGAGCGTCTGAGTTGGGTGCAGTGTACTGTCGCTTTACATTAGCCTACTGATGATATCAACACTTGCAATGAACGAACTGACAGTATAATATGACGTACAATATATATATATATATATTGTGGCGTACGTTAGTAGTGTATTGTAGTAAAGCACAGTGCAGCATATCACACCATAGTGCTTTAAACAACTATTCGGTCACCTGTTCTGCTTTTAATGCGAAGGCCCACGAACATCAACTAGTGAAGGTCAGATGTAGACACGCATTTGATCCCGTCCGAGTCAACAAGGTAGATCACCATTAAGTAGATACACGAAATGATCCAAAGTGAAATTTGAGTGAGATCAGATGAGTATTGTTTGTGCACAACAGCTAGAATCAGCCGTGGGTAATAAGCAAGGCTGGAAAAGCAAGTCACTGGCTTTTAAACCCACTGAATTAAGTGTATCGAAGAACCGGTTAAGACAGCGTCCACTGAAACGGGAAACGAACAAGTTCGTCGAACAGCCGATATGGTTATTACACCAACAGACAGGCCTAAATGACTGTCTAACGTAATTTCGCTACCATTTGGTGGAGAGGATCTGCAGGTATACGGATCAGTGATCAATGTACCCTTTAGGTTGAACCAAACGTCCTTTGTGATACCGGCAACCTTGCTTTTGACGAACCTTAAGTTGTAAAAAGCACTGCAATTGTCGTTGCGTTTTCCATGACTAATCAACCAGGATATATATCACGCACAGCGCATAATCTATTCTGGTTCATTTGTACAGAACGCGATGCGGATATTCTGAAACATGTTGTACCGTCTTCTCCGCCATCTACTTCGGTATTCCAGCAAAATTTTAGACGTTATCGAACTGAAAAAGACGTTATTCCGTTACTGCGCTTTAGCGAGGAGAACCTGGATAGGAAGACTGAATGTAAACAGCATGTAATGATAGACATAACACACTACTCAGAAGACTGTTGCAAATTCTTCGACAGTCCAAGATCGGTTTCATCCTTCTTGGGGCTCCTCGGATAGACACAGTTCACGAGTTTCCCTAAACCTTTAAAACATCATAAAAGAGAGATTCAGCATGGTTCCAGATGAGTTCGCAAATAAGTGTATTTCGCTGAAATAACAATAAGTAATCATTCAGCTGTAACACACTTCCGGTGACATCATAAAGATTCAGCATGGTTCCAGATGAGTTCGCAAATAAGTGTATTTCGCTGAAATAACAATAAGTAATCATTCAGCTGTAACACAACACAGGTGCCTAGCTGCCATGCCACCAGAAGGAAGTACGAGGGATACTGCCAGGTCACCCAGGCCTAGGCAGAGGAAGTCGAGAGGCGGGGTTCGGGTTCGGACCACGAACCTTTTGTTCAGTAAATTCGCGCTCTAACCACTGAACCACCTCGCTAAGCACGTAATGAGTTTTTTCTTGTTCGGGGATAACCGAACGCTTGACATGCATACCAGTTGTTTGGAACATCTCAAAAGATGTCCAACGGGGGAGAGTTGTTAAGAGATCTTCGACAGACAATACTAAGCCACAAGACTCAAGGAATTTCTATTGTCCAGATATATCGACAATGATTTATCGACTACTGTTGAGAGAGCAATTCAACTTTTGTCACCCTCAGCTTGGGCAAGATGGCTCAAGTGGTTAGAGCACGAATTTACTGACCAGAAGGTCCGTGGTTCGAACTCAACCTCTGCCTTTCGACTTCCCCTGTC